TGTGGATGCAGTTTATAGCGGTGCAGCTGTGTTCTGTGCAAATTACAGCAATCGTTCTTCATCTCTCCCTTCAGAAGCGAAGTGAGCTGGAGAGGAGCAGTTTTCCTGGTGTAGCAGCCGCCGTGCTGGGGCTCATGTTGCCTAAATTCTTGGGATCATGTCCCTTTCTACCTACGTAGTATTTCACATAGTGGAATCCATGTCGTGTTATTCTTCACTCGTCTGTTTTGGAGGTGTAGCCAAGCTCATGTTCCAGTGAGGTTCCAAAGCATCATTTACTGCAGTAGCAGAGACAAACCAGGCACTGCCATGCAGTGACGTCAATAAAAATAAATCTTGGCTGCTGTTAAGTACATGGGAGGTGTTACCTGTGTGCCGTGTGCTGGAAATACGGTCATTTCACTCATTTCTGTCCTGTAACCAAGCCACCAAACTCTGCACGTGCACCAGAGGGTGACAAGCCATCCACACGAGCGGCTAAAGTTAGGATGTGGAGGTAGGCCAAAGTGATCCAGATCATTGCCCCACGTGTAACAAAAAGCATTGATTTCTTCCACAGATGATGATGAAAGTTTGGCTTGTGCTACTTGTGCACAATGCCTGGATCGCTTCCTTGCCTTGTGGCCTGTTGAAGTGCCTGGCTCCTGGCAGCAGGGCTGCTGGATGCTGGGCAGGGAGAACAAGCTCTTGGTAGCTGGGAGGTGCTTAGAGACTGGGTACCAGCGCTCCCTGGTGCCCTGACTGAGAACGTGGGTATCAAATGAAGAGCCAGCCCAAGTTTTATTGCTTGCGATTGAGGCAGCTGATCTGTGTATAGCTGGTGGTTCTCTCTTCTCTGCATTCATTTCTGCTGCCAGTTGTGCAGGGATGGTGCAGCACTGAGGTGCAGTGTGTCTGTGCGCTAGCAAAGGGTTCTCACAAAACACTGGTTCTGCCCTAAGATTTCCTGTTAATGACCCTGAGAAATGTCATAGAATTGTTTGAGATGGAAGGGACCTGTACAGGCCATCTAGTCCAGCTCCCCTGCAATGAACGAGGACACCGTCAGCTCCATCAGGTGCTTTGTGCCCATGCAGCCTGACTTGGGTGAGCTGACAGGGCATCCACCAACTCGGGGCAGCCTGTGCCAGTGCCTCAATGCCCTTAACTGTAAAAAACTTCTTCCTTATATCCAATCTAAATCTGCCCTCTTAGTTTGAAACCACTTGTCCTATCACACAGACCCCACTAAAGAGTTCTTTCTGACAGCCCCCTTAGATACTGTCAGGCTGCTCTCAGGTCTCCCTGGCGCCTTCTCTCCAAGCTGAACAGCCCCTGCTCTCAGTCTGTCCTTGCAGGGAGGTGTTCCATCCTTGGGGTCATTTTTTCTGGCCCTTCTCTGGACGCACTCCCAACAGATCCATGTCACTCCTGTTTTGATTACTCCGCATCTGGACACAGTACTCGAGGTGAGGTCTCACAGCACATAGCAGAGGGGCAGGGTCACCTCCCTCGCCTTGCTGGCCACGCTGCATTTCACACAGCCCAGGATACAGATGGCTTTCTGGGCTGTGAGAGCACATTGCTGGCTGATGTTCAGCTGACCACTCCCCAGTACCCCCATGTCCTTTTTGGCTGGGCTGAGCTTCATCCTTATACCCCCAGCTTGTACTGATAGTGGGGGTTGCCACAAGCCAGGTGCCAGGCCTTGCATTTTGCTTTGCTGAGCCTCAAGAAGCTCTGGGCTTCCTGCTGGAACCTGCCTATGTCTGTGCATCCCATCCCTCAGGTGTGTCAGCCACACCCACAGCTTGGTGTCATCTGCAAACTGCTGAGGCTGCACTCGATGCCGCTGCCGATGTCGTTGATGTGCTGTTAGAGCACCAATCCCACTACTGACCACCAAGGGACATCTCTTGCCACTGATCACCCTCTGGGCATTGAGCCTTTGACCACCACTCTCTGGGTACGATCTCTTAACCACTTTGTCATCCATTGAACAGTCCACCTGTCAAATCCATCTTTCCAATTTGGAGAGAAGGATGTTATGGGGGACCGTGTCAAAGTCCTTATTGAAGTCCAGATAGGTGACATCAGTGGCTCTTCCCTTGCCCACTGATTCGGTGCCATAGTGAGAAGCAATGATGTTGCTCTGGCAGAACCTGCCCTTGGTGAAGCCATGCTGGTTATCCCTATCACCTCCTCTACACTGTGCCTAAGCATAGCTTCCAAGAAGATCTGCTCCATGATCTTCCTGGCACAGAGGTGAGGCTGACGGGTCAGTAGTTCCCTGGGTCTTCCTTTCTACCCTACCTTAAAAAAGGATGTGGTGATGCTTTTTTCCAGTCGCTGGGACGTCACCTGACTGCCACGACTTTTCAGACATCATCGAGAGACATTACCTGTCTTTGGAGTTCCAGAGCCTTTTATTCTATAAGGGCACCTGGAGAGGCGAGGCAGGTAAGAAGAGGGTTTGCCTATGACACCGAGCAAAGACCTGTTTCCATCTGTCCCCATCTCTTAGGTTCCCTCCCTTTTCCCAGTGGTGACCTACTTGGGGTGTATCACCCCAGTGCCTTCTTTGGTGGTATGGCTGGGAGTCACTCCACCAGTCTGTCTTCTGCTCACACTCTTTGATGCTCCTAAATCTCTCCACCTCCTCCTTGAGCTCTGCAGGAGGTGTCTCAGCCACCTTCCAGTGGCAGCAGCAAGCTCAGGCACTCCTTGCAGCCAGAAATCTGAGCAGCCACGTTTCTGGGCAGGCACTCGATCTGGGTCTCCACGTTCTTTTTGGAGAGAGCATAGCTAGATGTGTTCTCCAGGAGGCAGTTGGTAGGTAAGCCGGTTTCCCAAGTGGGGAGGGATGCTTTGTTCCCCAGCTCACCCTGCCTGCAGGAACTGCCATGCAAACTGACGTGCCACACACTGTTCACCCCTGGGAGCTCTTCAAGGGTCACTTTTGTAACTGGAAGCTCTGATGCTGCTGCTCCAGGCCCCATCCCCACCACATCTGAGCTGCTGACACGTGGAAGGTGATGGTGCCCCATAGCTCCTCACTGACAGGAATTCAGCTGCCCTACTGAGGTGATTCCTTGCTTTGGTGCGGAATGCGGCCACACCAAAGCTGTCTGCCTGCAGAGAAAGGCACCAAGTCTTGGGGCACAGTGTGAAGGATGAATACAGCTCCGTGCCACGCACCCTGTGCATGCAGCTCCTGGGACAGGTCCAAAGAGTAGATGGTTTGTTATTCCTTACACACACCATCCTGTCTATAAGAAGAGAGCCTTGCTATTTCCAGAGTGGAATCCGATACGAATAAAGACAGTGATTGTCAGATCTGCTGGCTTCCATGCAGACAGTATTTTCCTGTCCATTCTGAAGGCAAGGCTGTATTGGTGTCAGGGTCCTGCGACCCTGGAGAGCACTGTGCTGAAGCTGCACTGTACTGCTCCACCTGACCCAGCCTATGGCACAGCTCTCCAGAGCAGCTGAGGCCTTTCCTCTCAGCTCCCATTGCCTGACAAGGAGGGAGGGAACTGGCCCCGATGCACTGAGAGCCCACAGCCGGGTCAGTCTTCCAGCCATTCTGCCCCAAGCCTGTAGTGTTGCCTGGGGTTGTGGCCAAAGTGCAGGACCCAGCACTTGTTCTTACTGGACTTCATCCCATTGGCCCCAACCCAGCAATCCAGTCTGTCCAGGTCGCTCTGTGGGGCTTTCCTGCCCTCAGGCAGATCGGCAGTTCCGCCAACTTGGTGTCATCTGCCAACTTACTGAGGATGCACTCAATCCTCTCATCCAGATCAATTTGTTTAGGTGCTACCTTCTGCTTTACCACAAGTTCTCAGCAAATTGAAACAAAAAAAAACTGACAAACATTCTAAAACTTTCTTTCTCTTTGCAAACTTCTGGTTTAGTGGTAACAAACGAGCTCCTTGCTGCCTTCAGGAGCTGTATTAGCTCAGAATGCTCTGTGTTACCGTTCAGGATAAGTTGTGTCATGCTCCTTGTATGAACTGAACTGCAGAAGGAGCTTCAAGTCTTCAACACAGCCCTTCCTTGGGCCATGGTACTGCAGTGGATGGAGGCCGAAGGCAGCTCTCACACGGCAGCGTGCTTTGAGTGATAACAGAATAGGAGCCCGACTGCCGTGTTGTGAAATCTTGTTCACAAACGGTTTAAATGCATCGATGGACGTTCTGCATGAGGCTGCACGCTTGCCGTGACACCTGAGCAACTGTGACCAGCATCACTTTCAGAAGGCTTCTGCGTAGTGCCCAACCGTGCTGGCTGCTTCCAGGGAGAAGAGAAGCCCGCTGTAGGCAGGCACTGGGAAGCAGGCAGCGGCTGTGGGTGCAGGAAGGAGGGATGGCTGTGTAGAAGCTGTGTGCTTTCGAGTGCCAAGCAGTGCCGGAGCTCCCGCCGCCCCGCTTGCCTGCAGAGGGCTGCCGAGCACAACCGGGCCTCTACTGAAACGCTTCCCAAATGCTGGGGCGTTCCGTTGTGCGTAACCCAGATGCAGCAAATGACGGCCGCAGCCGGGCTCGGGGCCGCTAACAGGCCTGCTCCCACAGCACGGGACAAAGCGGAGCTGAGCTACGAGGCCTCTCCGTGAGGCTCCATGGGCTGGCATGGTGTGCTCCTGGGCTCTGCATTCACTTACTCTGTATGTAAGTATCCTGGAGGTTCACTTTGCTGTGAGGTGTGTGAGGAGCGAGAAGGCGTAGCTGGCACGATGCCTCCTGGGCTCCGAACGTCAGGACCACGTTCAGTGCAAACACTGCTCTCACCAAACCGCTCGCTCCTGTCGCTGAGCAAAACGTGGCAGCCATCCTGCTGCTTTACACCCCGCTCCTGCTGCCCTTCCCGGGCTCTGCTGGCTGTGGCTGGGGGAGGAATCCCTGCTCGCTTCCCGCTGCGGCACAGCAGTACTGAGAAGCAGGGCAGGAGAGGACGGACTGTGAGGGACTTCCCAAACGATTGGAGTTTTATCCTCCAAGAAATGCATCTGAGACTTTAAAATCTTATAAGAGAAACTGGTAAGTTTTTATTGGCCTCTGGTAGGATGGGCGTTTGGGTTTCATGTACCCTGCCAGACTCTGGTGACCCGTGCTGAAGACAGTGTTGTCGTCAGAATGATGCTGATGTCCAATAAAGTTGCTCCCTCGTGTCAAGGTTCTGTGTAACATGAGATTGTGTGCTGAAATGAAGCAAAAGAAGAGTGTTTAAGTGGGAAAGCACAGGTATGGAGTGATAAATGCAATCTGTGTTAACTGTTACGAAGTCCATTCTTTAACTAAATCTTTAAGCTAATTTGCTATATGAAAGAGCCATTTAACCTAGCCCTCTTTTACAATTTCAATTCTTCCTTCCTTACTTTGGTTCAGAAGCCAAGATAGCACAGTACAGCGTTCTGTGAGATCTAAGCAATCAATGTTTTTAAGATGTGGTGTCAGATGGGGAACTCTGGAAGAGAGGTATGCAGTCACCACAAGCTCCTCTCTTGCTGAAGCCCAGTGATCCCTGTTGTTTCAAGGTTGCTTTCATGGACAGCTTCTTTGTGAACATTTATTTAAAGAACAGATATGGTCAAAGGGAAAAAAAACCAAAAACCAAAAAACTTGATTTACTTCTCTGCACTAGCATGGAAATAACTCTGGGGACAATGTGTCTATAGCTACAGAGCACCATAAGTAAAATAAGCTTATGTAGCACTTGCTGTAGAGCAAATAGATAGGACAAACGCTTCAAAATGATAAGAACATCTGGAAAGTTCAAGAAATGGCAGCCCAGACCGCCACTGCAAGAGCATCTGACTCTATGAAAATCAGTGAATATGTTTAAACCTCTCCTGCAAAGCTGAGAGGTTCTAACAGATGTGGCAGTGAGGAGAGGACAAGAAAGGTGCTCACAGCCCATGCAGCAGTTGTCTGGGCCTCGTCTCCTCATCCTGCATTATCATAGACTCATAGGATCATTACGGTTGGAAAAGATGTCTACAATCATCCAGTCCAACCACCCACCTACCAGCAGCTCACTAGCTCACTAACCACGTCCCTCAGTGCCACATCTCCATGTTTCTCGAGCTCCTCTGGGTGACACAGCCCGTTCCAGCACCCAGGTGACACAGCCCTTCCAGCACCCAGCCACTCTTTCAGCGTTTTTCCTAATATCCAACCTGAACCTCCCTTGGTGCGATGTGAACCCAAGTTACGCCCTCGACTTCTGCTTTCCGGGTTGAAACACTGAGCAATTAAAATCTCGATAGTTCAATTCAGGCTGAAATGGGGGCTGTGTTTTTCGCAGGTATATACTTCTGCTGCTCAGCACTGAGGAAAACAGACACTTTGTGTATCTCAAGATGTCGTTCAAAACAACTGAGTCATGATGTAGGCCTATAATCTCAGTCCTGTGTTACCACACCTTGAGCTATGCCAGAAATTCAGTTTCACTGGTAAACACTCGTGGTGGGCCCAGGAATGCCATTCCCTGCACTAGTTCACACGTAGCTCTGCATGAGCACTGCCTGAAAGTCACTTCTGTGGCACAGGAATCCAAGGGGCAAGGCGAGCAGTTTTGACTGTCTCTCTTCAGTCAGCCTAGATAGGTTCTGCCTGTATCAACAGTGGCTTTTTCTCTCTTAGAGCCCAGTGAACCATGCAGCCAAACTTTGGGAAGCCCTCTCTTATTCTTCTGACATTGCTTTATCTGATTTTTTCCCCCTCCCTCCATCTCCGCTCTGTCTCTTGACACTGCAAAACCTGAAGTTATTTGGGCCCTTGAATTTTCTTTGTCCACTACAGGGTGATTTTGGATTTGGCAGACTGCTGAAAAAACACCTAGAAACGCCCGTTTTTTCTCTTTTTGCTCTAAGACAGATAGATATTATCCTCCCTCTGAAAATGAGATGGATTCAAGACACCAAATCAGTCATAACTAGCACTTGCACATCAGCTGTGACACTTTGTGACTACTTTGCATGGCGTTCTCATACTTGGAAGGGACAAGTGTCAGCAGCTGTTGAAGATGCTCAGGACGTGTGTCCCAGCAGAACACCCTGAAGCATGCCTTCCAAAACCACCCAGACGGAGGTCTTAGGACTCTGTGCAAAGGGAGGGAGAGAAGTTCTGCGTTCTCAATCTCAGCTCAAACTCAGGGGTTCCTCTTTTGCCTTCGCCACCACCACTCACTCATCTAAGAGGAGGAAGCACCGTGGAGTTGGGCTTTTGCAGCTGACAGGAGTAGTGGTGCAGGCGACTCTCGGCAGGTACCCCACAGCCCATGGCTCTGGTAGGTGCAGGGCTTTTACCTGCAGCTCCGGGGTAGGAGCCCAGCGTGCGACAGCGATGGGGCTGGCCCTGATGGAAGTGGTGGGTGCCTTCCAAACCTACAATATAACTCCAACAAACAAATGACTTTTATTTTTCTTTAATAGTAACCAACACGCACTCAGGTTGTGTTCCCAGGCCCTCCACCCCTCCGGGTCGCACTCCCGCTCTCAGCACAGCGCGGTACCCGCAGCCGCGGATTGCTGCGCCTGCCGCGCAGTTCGCGCGCTGCCGGGGCACACAGACGCGCACAAACACACTCACATACGCGGAGCAGCGGCTCGCTCAGCGCTCCCTGCGCTCCGTGCCCCGTCCCGCGGCGCTCCCCGCCCCGCCCCGCCGCGCCCAGGCCACTTTCTTTCCCGAGTCCCCGCGGTGGCGAGGCGCAAAACCGCGCGGCCCCCCCGGGCGCGGAGCCCCGCGGCGCGCAGCCCGACTCACCGCGGCTTCCTCCCGGCCGCGCGCTGCCGCCTCGCCTCGCTTCGCCTCCCCCTCCTCCGCCGCCCGCCCCAGCCCCAGCCCCGGCAGAGGAAATATTGCAATGTTGCAAGCTGACGTAAGGACATTACAAGGAAAGGGCTACATTTCGGAGTGTTTATGAAAAGCCTCGGTACTGTACTGTCACCAGGGGGCATGCAATATAATGCATTTCGCCAAACATTTTGAATAATAATCATTTAACAACAACAACAACAAAAAAGCCCCGGTCCGGTCGGCGCTCGCGGAGCCGGAGGAACCATGCAGCCAAACTTTGCGAAGCCCTTTCTTATTTTTCTGACATTGCTCGCTCGCCCTTGAGGAGCCGTAATTGCATTATCTGATTTTTTTTTTTTTCCCCTTCTTTTCTCCCCCCTTCCCCCCCTCCCCGCTCCGTCTCTCGACATCGCAAATTCGCTCGCGTTTCGGAAGGAGCAGCCGCCAAAGCTACCGAGCGGCAGGAGCCGCCGCCAGCCCCGCTCGCCTCTCCGCGAGTCCGGTGTTGTTTTGAAGGGAGCTAACATGGCGACGGTGCCCGTCTATTGCATCTGTAGGCTGCCCTACGACGTAACCCGCTTCATGATTGAATGCGATGCCTGCAAGGACTGGTTTCACGGCAGGTAACACAAAGAGATCGGGCCTTTTCCCCCCTTTCGCCGCGGTCCCCCCCCTCTCGCTCGGTGCCTTTCGCCTCCTTTTCTCTCCAGGGCAGAGCGCGGCGATGGTGCCGTTGGAGCCACCGCCGTGTGCAGTTTTCCAACAGGCCTTTTTGGAGAGGAGGAGGAGGAGCCACTCTGCCCCCGTCTCTCTCTCTCTCTCTCCGCGTTGTATTTTTTTGTTTTGTTTTGTAAATTTTCCTTCGATTCCCCGCACAAAGCCCCCCCCCCATCCCCCTTCCTCCCCGGGGCTCCGGTGTCATCGGGCCGGGGGGGGCATTGTGCTTCTTTCCTCGGGGCGGGCGCCGCGGGGTGCGCGGAGCGGAGCGCGGACCGTGCCGCCGGCCGCCTCAGCCCGGCTACGGGGCCGCTCCGCCGGCCGGGAGCGGTCGGGTCGGGCCGCGTCCCGCACCTCCCGCCTCGTCCTCTCGGTTACGGACCCAGGGCGGCGGGCTCGGGCTCGGGCGGCGTGAAGCCGCGTCCCGGGGAGGCGGCGGGGCTCGGCAGCGCTGTCAGCGGGTTCCACGCCCGCGGCTCCGGGCCGGGCGCGCCTCGCCTCGCCCGCGCGGGGATCTCGGTCCCCGCACCCCCCTCCCCCCACACACACAAACCCCGCCGCCGCGCTCCACGGCCCTGTTGGGGCAGCCGGGTGTTTCCCGTCTGACAGGGCTGCCATCGCCGGGCCGGCCCTGCGGCTTAACCCTTGGCGGGGCGACTGGGCGGGGCGCGGAACGGGCGGAGGGGGAAGCGCGGGGCCGCGGCGGCTCCGCAGGGCGAGGGGAAGCCCCTCCGTGTCGGGAGCCGCGGGGGCGGGCGGGGCGGGAGAGCGCCGGCCCTGAGGCGGGGCGGCGGCGGCGGCGGCCGTGCGGGGAAGCCCCGGCAGCAGCGAGCCCGCCCCGCGCGGCACGGCCCCCGCCTCACGGGGAGGGAAGGAGGGAAGGAAGGAAGGAAGGAGGGGCTCCCCGCGGCTCCCGGCGCTGCCCCCCGCCCCGCCGCCGCCGGGGGAGACGAAGGGGGGACGCGGGAGAGTTTGTTTAGGGCGGACAAAGGCGGACTTCGGCCCTCGATTCATTTCGCCCTGAAGCTTTGTCATGGAAAGCGAGCGCGGGCGGCTGCCGTGCGGGAGACAATGGCAGAGCGGGCGTACTTGAGTTAATGCTGTGTGGAACTGAACTTCGGGAGCGTTGGAGCGTTTGGGGTCGTTGGGGTTTTTTTCCTTTTTTTTTTTTTTTTCCTTCCTCCTCTGCGAGAGACGGGGAAGTTGGTTAAGGACGCGGGGAAGGAGCGCCAAGCGTGGCTGTGCGATGTGTGCTGGAAGCGATGCTGGCTGTACCCGAGCAGGACAGCGCCGCGACTGCATCTCCCGCGTGTCCGAGGGGAGGTGCCGGGCTCTGTGTCAGGGCAGCTGACCGACGGAGGGGGCACAGGGCCTTTGCTCTGCCCCAAAGTAGCGCCCCAGAGGTGGGTTTCATAGTGAGCAAAACTGAGGAGACCGCACTCCGAGGGAGCCTCAGATAACCGTGTTGGAGAAAAGAGGTGGCTGATGGAGTAAGGAACCACCTGTATCTGTCCCTGTTTGATTTGCTCGATGTTGTATGAGACAATAAATCATCAGCTGTGAAAAATATACACTGGGATTTGGTCGTGGAGAGTTGTCCTGTCTCGTTCCTAGGTGCTCAAAGCACTGTTGGTGTTAATGCCTGTATAGTTGCTGCACTGCAACAAAAGTGACCGAGTGTGCAAAGCTCTGCACTCTTAAAGAGGCTTGCCCATTTAGAAACGATTTCTTTCTCTTTTCAACGTACACAGAGCACATTTCAGAAAAAAAAATGCCATTCCTGTTTCGGTTCTGTAGAAGCAGGTCAGGGGTTTTCATGCTTCCTCCCTGACCGTAGCTTCCAGATATTTCAGTACATGTTTTTCCAGGTTCTGTTCACATGTCAGGTGTGGTCCCCTAATGCTGGGTAACGTCTTTGTGGCACTTCAACGAATCTGACGGTAAACTCGTATTACTAAAATATTAAAAGTAAGTTAAACTTGCTCAGTGCCATTTAGAAGCTGGAAGGAGAGCTGGGCCATCACCACATGACTGATGTGCGCTTCCCAGCCCAATGCTGATGTGCCATCGACTGTGGTTGGAAGCGACCGCTCTGCGATGTGTCCTGAAGGAGGGCTGGGAGGGACGAGCCAGGCTCTCGGGGCCTTCAGGTCTCACTCATCACGGGAACTTCTGTGATCTGCAGACAGGATTTCTCATGTGAAGCAGCATTAGAACTTTCTTTATAGATCCCCAGTTAATCCTCACATGCTTCTGAGCAGTTGCCCACTGCTGTATCTGAACTTTTGTGCGGCAGGAGAAAGTGGTACATCAGAGGCTTCCCTCCTTTTTCTGGTCGCTGCTCTGGAGCTAGGCCTGCATGCAGCAGAGTCGCTGCAATAGCATATTGGGTTGAATTGATGTACATGGCAGGTAGGTTTTTTCTGCTGGACAAAGGCGTCTGTATTGGTTTTGTGCACGGGGTGTTGCTGATCTCTAAGAAGAAAGGTCATCATTGGCTCTGTTCCTTTCTCTGCAAAGCTTTCAGAGGCCCTTTGTTACAGCTCCATATGTTACCCATCATCAGGGCCCCCAGCCGCTGTTTATGAGGCGTACTGAACTGTGCAGCCACCGGCGTGTTCGCAGAGCACTGCTTTGTGCCTTCTTATTAAACCGACTTTCAGTCATTTCTGTGCTTCCAGCCCTGGAGAGGACAGGGACGGTCTTAGAGACAAAAGGAAAAGAAATGCCTCTGCAGACAGTGGAGCAGGGCTGTTGGACACCACTGTTTGTAAGGACAGAACCTTCGCCATAGAGATTCGTAGAGCTGGGATGCTTTGAGATCCTGACTCTCGTGCTCTTCAGGAGTTGTGCTGGTCCTGCTGTTGCCTTTCCTCCGCTGCACCTAAACTGGCAGAACAGTTCTGTAGCGCAGCACTCCCAGGTTTCCCTGTTGCAGTTACCCTGCTGGATTCCTCAACTTTCATGAGACTGAAAAGTGGGAACCCAAGGAAGGAGCCACCAAGGTCACATGGAAATCCTACAGCCTGTATGTACGCAACGGCCTCTGGTAGTTGTGGTCACTGAATTGACATGGCAGAATCATTTGTCAGAGCATGCCTTGTGAGCAGCACCACCTTGTCTGCTTCTGGATGGTGGTGGTGGTTAGCATCTATGAAGCTGCATAGGGTTTAGGAGCTGCCCCTTTTAGAGATGCCCTCTTTTCCTGTGCATCATTGCTGCAGCTCGGAGCAGCTGTGCTAGTTTTGCTGACAGTCTGTGGATGCAAAGTCTTAACAGGTGGATGTAGTTACACTTAATAGCAGGCTTCCAACTACTCAAGTCACCTGTGACTGGAGTTTGCAGAACTCAAGGCAAGGTGAGTCCTTTTGCTCAAGTTTGTTCTGCTAGAAATCTGTTCTGGGTTATTCTTTCATGTAGGTGGAAGGAGGTGAACCATTTATTTCTCTGCAATGGTTGTTTTGTTACCAGTACTTGTAATATCTGTATCTGCTCTTTTTGATGTAGGAGGATCATACAATATTTAAATAAAATGACCCAGAGAAGATTCAGGTTGGATGGTAGGCAAAATTTTTTCTCCAAAGAGTGGTCAGGCTCTGGAAAGGGCTGCCCAGGGAGGTGGTGGAGGAGTTAAAGGAACATTCAGATGTTGTGCCGAGAGGCGTGGTTTAGTTGGGGAAATATTGGTGGTAGGTGGAGAGTTGGTCTGGATGATCTTGAAGGTCTTTTCCAACCTTAATAATTCTATGACTTTATTTTCATATTTATTTTCCTGTATTTAAACTTGCAAACTTATTGCCACTGTTATAGCTGCAGCGATATCTTAGTACTATTATAAAATGTTTAGCTAACTAGAAGTTGCTATTCCAATTCCTATAGCAACATAGGGTTAGGATGATTTTTAGCTGTAGAATCTTGATGCATGAAATGAACTCCATCTGGATTAAGAAATACACTTGTTATTACATTGCAAAACTGAAAACTGCGTATGGGGAAGATGCAGCTCTTCTACTGGAACATTCAGCGTTGTCTTTTTCTTAAAATAGGTCTGTCTTTGCCTGGCAGTGTCTGGGTCCTCTCTTTTACATGGCTGCATCACCAGCTGTGGTCGAATCTGAACATAAATATACTTAAAGATAGGATAATCCTAACTTTTAGGTGATCCTAGAAGTACCATTCAGTTTCCCAAAGTACTGTCACAATGGAGGGAGTTACTGAGGTTAATTGTCGATTGTGCAGAAAAGATTGCGTTTCATTTTGAGAGTTCAGATAGGACAAGGAAGTAAATTATTAGTTTAATGTTATTTCAGGTTTTCCTGAAGAGTTTGTCAGCTTTACAGTCTGCTGGAGACCAGAGCAGGCATTTGTGAAGAAGCTGGATGAACACCAATCCTGGAATGTGGTTCCTTACGGATGATCCGTTCCAGGAAAAAAAAAAAGAAAGAAAAAGTTTGTTGCAAAGTGTTTTTATGGACCCCATAGACCATGCTGATTGTTCTGGATGAACTGTCCATACAGCCACTGTAGTGAGGTTTGTTTCCCTTAGAAAAAAGCCAAGAAAAAGATTTTTATATATATATGTATGTATATATATATGTATATATATTTATATATATGAGTTGTGAGTATGGTATGTGAAGTTTTGAACTCATGATAAAATGAGTATATATAAATGAACGAGTGCTCCCCAGCAGCACAGGCCTTTGGCTGGGCTGTGCTGAGCTCAGGCCAGCAGAAGCAGGGCTGCACCCTCCGCAGGTGCTGTGCTGTTACCAGGAAAGTGAAAGCGATGTCGTTTCTCAGGCAACAAAAGATCAGTTCTGCGAGAAAACTGGGGCTTGATTAACCAACCCGCCGTGCTTTCCTTATTGCTAAATAGCTCTGTAATGAAGGGAATGGATAAAAATATCTTGAAAAAGTGATTGCGGCGGTGTAGCTACGAATGGAGAAAAAATGGCGAGGAGAAAATATGTTCCAGATGCATTATAGGCCTCTCTAGACCCAACTGCTAATATTACCGTAGCATATTTTCCCCTTTCCAATCAACGTGCTTTTTCCAGTGGATGCAGCCTCCTGTTATTTGGGTGCCTGCAGTTACAGGTGCCCGGCTGCGTCCTGCAGGCCGGCTGCCTGCGGTGGCCCTGCAGCTCAGGAGGAAGGCTCCAGAAAAGCGATGTGGCTCCTTGCTGTGCTCACAGGGGTAAGATTCAGGAAGCAGGGTTAGCCTAGGATGTGTTCCCTTCAGTTCTCTGATAGCGTATCCACAGCGAAAGCTAATGGCGTTTTTACAGCCTGGTTAGCTGTGCTGTGTACGGCCGCACAGGCTGCAGCCTGGGTACGGTTTGTACAGCTGTGTGATTGCACAAGGGCTGAGCAAACACTCGGTGCCTGGAGCAGTGCAAAGCTGGCTTCGCTCTGCCCTTGTGGGTTTGTGTTACGCTGTTGGGCCGCAGCGTTGGCGGGACGGCTGTGATTCGTGCCCATGCCGAGCAGTGCGCTGTGCTTTCACTTTCACAAGCAAGGCATCTTTCTTCCTGCTCTAAGCTTCATTAACAAAACTTCACAGCTCTCACAGGCATTCCACTTCTGTCACGGCAAATGTAAAACCCGACGAGTAGTATTGCATTTTTGTTACAGCGTACTTCCAGTGAACACAACTCATCTTCTGCATGGCACTGACCTTCTGGTTGGTAGGGCTGGTTGTCCTGCTTGCCGTAAGTTCTGTATATAAAATAGCTAGTGCTTTCCCAGGGCATTTCATTAAGCAGGGCTGTGATATGTGATAGAGGCGCTGGGGTCTCGCTTTGGGGTGGTGTAGAGAGCAAACTCTGGAGCGAGCTGGATTTCTCACAGTAGCCATTTTCTGTGCTCAGCCCGCGGCAGGGAGCACAGCCATGTGTGTCTGTGTATTAGAAACTCCTAGACTTGCTGAGTGATATAAATAATAATTCCTTTCCAGGTTTTTATTTGAAAACAATAAGGCTGTGCATGAGCTATTTTAGGGCATCGTGCACCATCTATTTTGAGATGTGATCTTGCTGCTCGTTGCATCCAAATACCTTTCAGATAGAGTATATAGAAATAATAAGGTTTTCAGCAGATTTCTTGTATTCTATGATTCTCCTCTGTTAATTGCTATGTTGTGTAAATTATGTATCATCTTACTTGCAAGATATATAAAAAATATTGCAGACATGAAACGACACCAGCCATAGATCAGTGAGTATTATACTTTAAAACAAGGCTTCCTAAACTGCTAGTCCAGTGCAATCTGAATATGCAAATGTACTCAGTATTTTTTCCAGATACGCTAATTAATACATAGGATTTATAATGCAGTTGCTGCTGCACCTGTCTTTTTGATGGTATTGTCATAATAACAGGAGATGCAGTTTAGGTTTATCCTCCACATAATGGCCAAGTAGCTCTTGACAGAAAGTCACAGAGAGATGAGTGGTGGTGTCCGTGCTCACTGAGGATGCAATCTGGTCAAGCTGCAAGAGTTCCCTCTTGTTCTGCTATTTTGTTTTCTCCATAGCTGGAATTCCAGCCAGGGAGTGCATCCAGCATGCGAGGAGGTAATTTCCTCGTGGTCTCAGAGAGTGAAACCCCCTTCTTGCTGAGCTTCTGCAGGCATCTGGTGGGGTTGGTGTCAGAGGCTGAAGAGAGGAAGGATGCCTGCCGTGGGGAAGGGGAGTTGCCCTGCTCACCGCCTCCAGGGCAGATCACTGGGAGGGATCACCTCCTGCTGCAGCTTAGCAATGGGCCCACAGTCCTGCGCCGAGAACAGAGGCTTTCACTGTCAGCTCCATATGCTCACACAGCTGTGTCGTTCTCTAACATGAGCACATCCAGCTTTTATCCACTATTAGTAGGTAATCGAGTCAGGCACAGAGTTAAGCAGGAATATATTCTGTCATGAAAAAGGACCACAGAATTTTGAAAATGAAAAGCGCTTCTGCATTTTGTATTTTCCATTATTCATCTGATCTCTGAGAGCAGTTGCAGCTACACTTGCCCTTTTGTTTTTAATGAGTTGCCTATGGATTCCATTTCATGTTCCTCCTGTATATACAGTACATTTGCTCTCAGGGAGAACATTTTTCCTGAAAGTTTTCATCTGGCACAGAAGTGGGGAAGAAAGAGAAATATTTGAGCTAAGGATCATTAGTTGTGATTTCTTCTTCAGCCTCCTTTCTGTGCTGTTAACATCTCAGTGGTAAAGAGCAGAAACGTGAAAACTGGCAGGAATGATGTTCCTATCTCATATGTGCCATTCACAAGTCTGAAAAGGCTGGTTGAGATATAGGCAAATTATAGTGATTTTTTTTTTTTTTTAATCTAGTTAATACATAATCATTACTAAAAAATAATAATGCTCATAATCTTCCTGTGTTCCTTTGGCTCGATGACACTGTGCACTGTGTTTGAACAATGGGATGAAGTCTTTGGCTTTCTTGGGGTTTGCATGTGTAGTATGTGTGATTATAGTATGCATTTATGATTGTTCATCTGTATAAAAATACACTTATTAAACGTGGGCCATGTGGTTATGATTTACCCTTTCTACTCAGATCTTTATTATGAGTAACTTGGTGTAGATCAGTGTCTCATTGTAAATTTCTAGCAACAGGTACTTCAAAGTCTTCAGCATTCCAATCCGGATAGAAACGAATGCAAACGTTTTTCATTACTTTCTTGGATGAGCACAGAATAACATGAGAACACATGAAAGAGCCACTGATTGTTTTTCAGGAATACAACCAAATGACCAGAGCTACAGCAAAGTTTAATGCCCTGTATTGAGCGTCTCCCCGGGGTCCATGGATCAGGCAGAAGGCTGAAGTGAAAGGGTTCAGCCTTCAGCTGTTGTGTGGCCTGGGTCTGTGCAATGGAAGTGTCTCCTGGGTCACAGCTCTGTCCATCTGTGATGGAGAGAATAGCAAACTTGCAGGGCTGTTAAGTACTTTTTCCATCGTCACCTTAGAAATGTAAGTCACAGAAGCACCATCAAAAGCAGCCAGGCTCAAGAATGACCAAGAACCTTTATGCTGCTTCCCCACTGTGTGTAATCTAGCTAGAAAAGAAGTCCATAGGCAATCTCTTAGCAATCTCCATTCATTCATGTCTACTTTTTGTGTATGAAACAGTAATGCTTGTACTCTATTTTAGTTGCTGGGTAGGGGTTGCTCACTCTAAAGACTTGCCTGATTTCTGGTCTGGATACACGACCTCTCAGTTAAGCTTTAACATTGAAAGTCGTACAGATGGCAGAGAGTGCTGGAGAATATCTGAGGAAGATCACAGTGCCATTTCCTACGCTTCTGTCCTGCCCCTGTAGGCCTGCATGGATGGATGAGGTGATCTTGAAATGCTAGGACTGGTTCTTAGAAGACCCTTTAGATTTGCAGACGTTAATGCTGCTGGACGGTGTTCTGAACACTTACGTATTCTTATCAAGAAACCTCACCTGTCTAATGATGAGGAGAAGCCAACAAATTCATTTATGAGCTGTTCTAGTGACTTATTGTTTCAGTTCTGACCAAAAAAGTTATGGGATTTCCATTCTGTTTGCTTAGTTTCTGTTTCTACATGCGGTATCTTATTATTTTGTGTGGTGAGCCCTCTTTCTTGGTCAGCCCTTTCCATCAACACGTTGATGTCCTCCTGCTAAGAGTCACCATGCTTCTTTAATCAGAAGATACATCTGTTCTTCTGAGTTTGGCTGAGAAAGTTGTTGAGCATTTATTGTAGAAATAGTTGCTTCATTTGAAGAGTAATTCTCTGGGTTTTCAAAGAATTAAGAGAAAGAATGCATTTAACTTCTGCAGAATCTCTTTGTCAGATGTTCCATGCCTTCTGCACCAACTTTGTCTTCACATTGTACTTAGAATACTATAAAGTGTGTCAGAAGTGGTACTGATGGTTGTTGGTTTTTACATCTGCAGCTGCATTTCATCCTATGATGTTAGTTGTAGTCTCCTGTAGTTTTACTCTCACTTCATTATTATTATTATTATTGAAAGCTATCCTGGATTATTAATCGTAGAATGGCCTGGGTTGAAAAGGACCATAATGATCATCTGGTGTGGACCCTCCTGCTGTGGGCAGGGCTGCCAACCACTAGACCAGGCTGCCCGGAGCCACATCCAGCCTGGTTTTGAATGCCTTCAGGTCATCCTAACGACACAGAAATTTTCATTGAAATGTAAATCCTTTTATTGTATTTCCTTGTATATGTATTTCCTTGTACAGTAGCTGTAGATAAGGCCTACGAGATCTTGTGGACTGAGTAATAAAAGCTGAGCACTATGCAGGGGAAAGACTCAGTGTTGACAAAGCTGGTAACAAGGATTCAGGTAATGACATGCCGCCCTTTGGATGAGTATTGAACCAATTACCCAGCATCGTGCTGGAGGAGCTGCCCTGCTGGAAGAGGTGTCCTCAGCACTAAGCAGGCAGCTCTGCTCTGACCACATGCAGTCATTGGAGTGCTGTATGGTGACTTGTTACGATGTTCATTCCATGAACAGCACTTTCACCCATTGCTGCAACACAATTGATCTTCTAGCTGGAATGTGCAGTGAAATCATAGAGTCACAGGACTGTTTGATTGGAAGGGGCTGCTAATGGCCATCTGGTCCAACTGCTCTGCACTGAGCAGGGACACCCACAGCTCCGTGAGTGCTCAGAGAGCATGCAGCCTGACCTTGGTGTCTGCAGGGATGGGACACCGCTGCACCTGCCCTGCACTGATGTGCTGCAGCTATCTCTGTGCCTGGGAGAACTGCAGAGCACAAAGACAGCCTGGATTTAAAGTTGCTGTGTAAGCTATGAGAGTCAGAACTGTGCACTAAGTATGTTGGCAGTTTGAAGACATTTGTATTTTCAGACACACTGGTTAAACATGGGTATTAAGGCAGAGGAAATGGAGATGGAGCTGCAAGATTTTTTTCCTGGCTTTGCTCCTCGTTTCCTTCTGAGTTTCTGTCCATCAGCTGACGTGGCTGGGGTTTGGATTAACTCTCACACTTGTGGTATGGAGTGTATAGGTAACAAGCTGATAGCAAACTGGCAATAATACTGATCCATCTTACCTATGGGGTGCAATAACATGTAATTAGAACATAGCAAGTGGTTTGAACTTTTTGGATAAAATATCCCTTGTACTCCTCATAAATATTTTAAATATAAAATTGACAGAGTGAAGAAAATGAATAGCTTATAATTGCAAGAGAAAAGGAATAAGGGTTCTCCTGGCAGCTGCGGTCAGAACAGGGCCAGGAGTTTGTTGGGAAGGTGGGATAAAAGCACGGTGTTTGCTGGATGCCATCCTTAGTGCTAGCCAGGTTGCTTCTGACCCCAGATTGTGCAGCCACTGCTGCAGTGTTCTCTTTGCTCTCCTTCTGCCAGGCACACTCATGGCAAGTGTCTACAGATGATAGTTGTAACATTGTGCCCTGGTGGAAGCCTGGCAAACTTGTAATTGCATGGGCTCTTTCCCTGCTATCTAGTATGTTAAGAAAAGTGTTTCTTTAAGACAGAGCATGTATCCTGGGCATGCTGTGCAGCTTGCAGCTTGGCAGTGACATGGCACAGCAGAGGAATAACAAACTGCTGCCATTGTGTGTGTGTGTGTGTGTCAGTGCACTGAGCTCCTGGTATACGTGCTGTTTGAGTCAACAAATCTGCATACAGCTTACAGTTTCTAGAATGCTTCTCCTAGAAGCTTGGGGAGAGTCATTTGATCACTCTGTCCTTTTTTTTTTTAAAAAAAAAAAAAATAATAATAATAATTCATTTTCAATTTAATTTTATTTTCAGTTTCACTTTTTCTCAGCGGAAATTACCTGCTTTCACTTCGTAAATAGCTCAGTGGTTTCTTACCAGCTCGACTTTACTCTGGCTCACTGCAACAGAGAGAAAAGTACGTGAGCACATCCTCAGGTGATGTGCAGTGATCACGTTCTTTTGCTTTTTGGGCTGAATGTGGTGCATTGCCTTTGTTGAGTGCTGTGAGTATAGACAGATGCTTGTTTCAGATTCACTTTTGATGTTTGCAAGCTGTGTTACCTGAGGAGTAGATAGGCAGACTGGTGCCGTTAGGGTGGCTGCAATATCCAGCAGAAGCCATGTGCAGAACAGCTGTGAGGACATGGTGTAAATCCCCATGTTGCACTGAGTTTATCACTGGTGTGTCCCATTCACGAATGAGGGCAGCTCCTAACGTGCCTCAGCCACCTGCAGCACTGGGAGCAGGAGCTGCGTGCGCCGTGCTGGCAGTGCCCAGGAGTGCTCTGTGAGGTCAGGCTCCGGCTGCTTGGCCCAGCTCCTTGCTGCTATTGCACAGAGCAGCCTCCCACTGCGGGAGTGCTGTGATTTGCAAAGGGAAGGGGAGGGAGTGCGGCAGAAGGAGCAGCCCAGAGATACAAATAAAGCTGCTACACTGTGTGTGTGTACAACTAATCTGCGAGATAGCCACCAACTGCTCCCTGACTCTCCAACTACTTAATTCTGATATACAATTTATATCACTTTTTGTACTACTGCTACAGTTTTTTTTCCATTTAAAAAATATATTACTGTTGCTGAAATTAAATTAATTCGGCGCTGTTGGAAAATTACTCAAAGGGCTGTAATAAGCAGTAATTGTAATTATTTCTGTATCTGCATCAAAAACGAAGGACAGCTGGAAGTGCCAATTCAGCATATTGTGTGTAATCAGAGATGCTGGATGGAAAGATCCCTGAGTCCAGCCATCAGTCCATGGCTGTGACCACTCTAGATCCATGTCCCTCAGTGCCACATGTCCACAGGTCTTGAACACCTCCAGGGATGATGACTCCAGTAGCTCTCTGGGCAGCCCATTCCAGTGCCTGACCACTCTCTTGGAGTAGTCTCTCCTAATGCCCAACTTGGACCCCCCAGGCAGAAAGTGAGGCCATTCCCTCTCATCCTGTCACTGTTACGTGGGAAATGTCTCTGCTTGCTTCTACCACGAACAGAAGCCCTTGGAGGCAGGAGGAAGAGGAGATGTGTATTACCTGGGCCTGTGGCAGCAGGGACATTTTCCCTGATATGACAGAGCTGATACAATCGCTGTTCTGAGTATGTTTTTTTTCCTGCATTTTCATGGAGAGCTGAATCATGTTATACCAAAAAGCTGATTCAAGCAAGTATGGTTTGTGGAGTGTGCTTCTGAACAGCACTCACACCGAATTTGGTGGGGTTGTGCTCTCAGAGTCCATCTGACTGCTGCTGGTCACAATCTGAAGCTGTCTGCTGCTTCTTTCATTTTGTTCTTTTTCAATTCTGTGTTTCGTTGCACTCTTGGAACTAAGAAATTCTTCCCAAAGCAGAACCATTTATTTTAAATGCAAAACACGGCCAACATCAGGCGCGGTTCAGCTGCGCTGGCCAGTTTGTGTTCCCACGGAAGTCGGTGGCAAAATGCCTGCTGATGGGAGAGCAGCTCCGTCCTGCCTCCTGCTTGTGCCACAAACCTCCAAGGGAACAGAAATAGAGAAATTTAAACATGAGCGGCTGCTATATGCACAGAT